GTAATCCATATCCACCAACTGGACAAGTGACTTTAAATGATGAAGTGCAGTAAATGGAAGCAGTAATTGTAAAACAAAAGGCATTCAAAAGTGAGATGAAACCAGATGACTCCTGTTTTCACTGGGAAAGTGGGGAAATTTTCAGGGTTAGGGAATTTAGGTTATGTTACTTCTTTATTTATACCCCTCATCTTTTTTTTTAAGTGAGTTTTGGGTTCCATCTGGTTATCCGGTTTTAGTTCGTAAAATTAAAACAGAATCAGACTAAGTGAGTTTTTTAATTTTTAAATTAATGTGATTGATTTTTTTTTTAATTTATTGTTTTTTTTTAGATTAATATGGGTGTTTGAGCCAGTTTGCACGCATCACGACTAATTTTATAAGACTTAATTTTTAATTTATTATTTTTAATTAATTTTTTCTTGTTTTCACATCTTAATTAGCTTGTTGGTTTTTTTTTAACACTCCTACCTATTGATTTATAACACGACCCGACTATCGTTGCTGGACATCCACTCTTTCTCCTTCCTGCCACCACCATAAACCACCACAATAGCCTCTTTACACCAAAAATAAAAAAACAACCTAGAACAACTAAACCCATCTCCTCCTTTTTCTTTCCGATCGACCAACAGTCACCATCCTTGTATCTATCGTGCTAGTTCTGCAGTATAAAAACTCCATGGGAGAAGCACTGGATGGTCACCTAATGAATTACAGTATCCACTCCATATATGCATTGTAATGTTCCTAGCTAGATGAAGATAGAAACCCTTCGAAACATCGTCACAGTACTGCCCTGGATCCTGCAAAAACCTGAATTAAGAACATATAAAACTAGTTCTACTTGATAAGCTCGAGCTTAAAAACACAACCCTTTTTACAACTAGTTAATACTCGGTGGACAATTCGAAAAAGGATTTGAAAAGGGGGGTTTGGTGCTTACCAACCCCACTTTACCCAATCCTCTAGGCTTCCACTGCAAAATAGGGTTCGATGAAGACGTTTCAATTCAATATTTCACACTGCGGAAAATTAATTTCCATGCATCACATGGATGTTCAGCCACATTAGCGTGGGAATATGAACTCTGCTCTCCAGTCTCCGTACATGATATTAGATCAGTCTCGTACATGACATCTTTAAGAAAAAAACTAGATAAGTGACCTGCAATTTGCTGGGGTTATATATTTCTTTTGTATTTAATGTTTTTTAAATGTAAATTAAAAAACTTATAATTAAACAAATCAAAAACTACATCAGTAAACAAACAAATAAAAAAGTTATTAACGATATATAAAGAAAAAAATTAAAAAAATTAAAAGACATATATACATCAAAATACTTAACCTTATAATACAAATTTTTAACTTGGTTGTGTTTAATAATTTTATATATCAAAATTATATTTTTATTTAATCAAATAATAATAGAAATATACACGCATAAAATTAAATGAATAAAATAAAAGAAAAATGTATGGTTACAAAAATTAAAAATATTATCCAAAAAAATATTTTTTATTTATATGAAACATAAAAAGAAAAAAATGATAATAGAATTAGAATAATTTCTTCAAAAACTAAATATAAAAGTAAAAAATAATTGTTATTTAAAAGAAGTTAAATAAACAAAATAGAAAAGATGATGAATATTAATTTAATTCTAAATTAAAAAATTATTTAAAAGAAAAATATATATATATAAAAAAGGCATAAAAATAGAAATAAAAATAAAAAATACTAGGTACTATTGATTATGGTCGCTGAGAAATTAAGGTTAAAGATTTTTTAATCTAAAACTTATTTTCAATTAATTTGGACCAAAAACACCTTTACAACATGGTAACTCCATTCGTGATATAAAAAATCATCTCAAAATTTGAAATTAATTTGAAACAACATTTTTTTTGAGCTTATATATGTTTTTCATGTATTTTCAAGATAAAAAAAAAACCTAAACTCAACCCTCCTCGTTAAAACTGTTTTGGTATTCAAAATTGATGACAATATCATTTTTTTCCTCTAACTTTGGAATTCAATGATCTCTCTTTAAAACTAGAGACTAATAATAATAAAAATAAATTTTTATAATAAAATTAAATTGAAAAAAAATTGAGGGACTGAATGGTATAATAGTAAAGATTAGGGATTACAATGAATTGTTTTTAAGAACTTTGAAACCATTATTCATTTATAGCTTCTTTTCTAGATCCCTTGTATTTTACCTTTTATTCTTAATTTATAATTTTGATTCAGTTGTCCTTTGATTTAGCATAAAAGGTACATAGTCGTGTAAAAAAAATAAAGAATTAAAATAAAAAAATAAACAATAAATTTATAGTAAAAAACAAGAAAATTAACCATATACATATTAAAAAAATACAACTTTTAGCATTTTCTATACCTCTCTCTTAGTGACCATGAATGACAAATTTATCCATCTCATGATAAAAAAATTATTGTTATTTCAAGCTTTTTAAGAATATATTTGAGAGTATGATTGTAATTATTTTTTAAAGTATTTTTAATTTAGAAAAATATATTAATAATATTTTTTTATTTTTTAAAAAATTATTTTAAAAATCAGCATATTAAAATAATTTAAACATATAAAAAATATATTAATTTTAAAAAAATTAAATATTTTTAAAATATAATATCAAACATGCTTGCTGGATCCATCACTAAGTTTAGTTTGAGCATGGCAGCCGTACATATATATTCCAGCGAGTACCACTTACGTTGCTGCTTGCTAATGATTTGTGATTTTTTTAATTATTAGTGTTTAAAAATATAATTGTAGTAGTTTTTTGAAAAAAAGTTTAATATATTAAAATAATATTTTTAAAAAAATTATTTTTCACATAACACATTTAAATAATTTTAAAAAATAAAAAATATTTTTTAAAATATTTTTAAAACACAGTAAACAGCATGCATGGACATCCCTGTCCACTATTTTAATATATTTTTAAAAATAATTTTTATATAATACATTAAAATAATTTTAAATATTTAAAAAAAATAATTTTTTTAAATATTTTTAAAACACAGTAAACAGAACATTAATAGCAGGCATAGACACAAAGGGGAAAGGACCGGAGACCTTGTTCACAATCATTAGGAAAGGAACATGGAAAAGAGCACCTTGACCTTTAAATATCAAATCAACAAATATGCCGAGAAAGCTACAATTAATGCAAAACAAGGTGTCGACTGTAAAGCTTACCCATTGAAGATCCGTAAAGGTGGGTTTGTCAACAATACTGTAGCAGCTCGTTTGTGGACGGGCTTGTGATATTTTTTAAATGTTTTTTAGCTATATATATATATATATTTTTTTATTTTTAAATTTATTTTTAACACCATTAAATTAAAACAATCTTAAATTTTTTTTAAAACAAATAAAAAAATAAAAAAAATATTTTTTAAAAGTATTTTTGAAATAAAAAATAAACGTATCAACCCCTTAGCCTCCCAGCCACTTTTCTGTAATACCACAGCTCTCAAGGGCAACTTGTTGCTTAGAGAGTCAAAATTTTGGGCAAGTTCTATATATTTAGATGTAAATCACCATCATTCACTATGACCAAGCAGAAGTCGAACCCCTACAGAACCCACAAAGAAAAACAGCACGGCAGCACCAAATTTAAGAGCATCATTCAATTTATTCGTAAAAATTAAGAACACGGAACCTGTCTTTCGATGGTACGAAGCTCATCATGTAGCTTGTGTCTTTTGCTTGAAAGATTTGCAATCGTCGGCGTGGGAAGAGAAACGCGACCGGATACATGGCCTGCGGTTTTGATGACATCATCTTGTGGTTAGAATATTAGATTGGGAAGTTGACGATTGGGCGTATTGGGAAAGTTGCTTAGTTAAAACAATTACATATATTTATATAGTAATTAAAAAATGAATAAAAATATATTATATAGAAAATAAGTATAAAATATATTTTAACAATAATAGTTGAAAAGGAGCTTGTTTGGGAGATGTTGCTTTTTAATGATTTTTATTTGGAAGTATATTAAAGTAGTTTTTTTAAATTTTATTTTTGATATTAATATATCAAAATAATAAAAAACTAAAAATATTAATTTAAAATTACAAAAATATAATTTAACCACAATACTAAACAATATTTCAATCAAGGATTATTAACTAGAAAATTTATTCACTCTCCGTGACACTATAATCTAAAGGTGGAGGAAGAGGAGTACAGTAGTGAATAAAGCAAAGAAAGATAACATGGATTTTCTTTTTGTTTTTCTCTCCTTCCCTCTTCTAACTCCCTTCACCTCTATTTACACAAGAGGTTAGGAATGTAAAATTAATTTATAATAATTTATTAAATTTGAAAAATCAATGAATACAAAAAGATTCAATAAGAATTAATTATTCATAATTCATTTAATTTTGTATGATCAATGAATCTTAAAAAAATAAAAAAACATAATCAATTTAAGATTAATGGTTCACATTCACCGTTGATTAATAGTTTTAAACGACACACACAAATTACTAAGCTAATCTTTTGATCTCATAATTTATAAATTAGCAATGTAATTAGGTTTTAACACTTCATGAACAACTAATAAAATTTTTTAATCACAATAAAAATAAATATGGACTATAAAAATCAAACACATGAAAAAAAATAAGTTATTCAAGCTTGGCATGAGTTTTTTTTTTATTTCACCAAGAAATTATGTATTAAGCAGAAGCAGAAAAGTATACATCCAATTCTGAAGATGATGAATCATTTATTTATTTTTAAATAGATTTTTATATTTGAAAAATAAATATTACATCAAAATTATTTGCTAAGAACATCAGGGACCCAATTGATAGCAGTTTTATTTTCGGGATGAAGTTGATAACCAGTCAACAGTTAGGGGTTCATTAGAGGTGTTGACAATTCTTCCAACCAATCATAATTTGGCGCGGAAGTAAATAATTATTACAACGCAAGTATATTTAACTTTTACCGTAAAAAATGAAAAAAAACAGTATCCATTTTCCATTTCTGTTACAGGACATAAATCTCTCCACAATTCTTCCATCCCCGCACAGAACCAACTACAACCCAAAAAACAATCTCTCAATAAGAGAACGGAACAACCTCCGATCCTCAAAAATCCTGTAACAATCTCAACTATCAAAAAGGAAAAAACCCCTTCCCCTCAACTGTTTGAAAGAAGAACAAGATCCCGAAACAACCAAAAGCCCAAAAATGTCCTCCACAACCACACCAATTTCCACCACCACCACAACCCCGACGCGAACCGGATCATCCGATGACATAATCGACACGACGCCGTTTCTTTCCCCTGGTCAACAAAACGAACCCCATCCCAATTCAAGCCGCCGATCCATCCGCCGCCAATCCCTTCGTGACGCAGCCAGGTTTCTACGCCGTGCAAGTAGCCGCCGTATGATGAGGGAGCCATCGATGTTGGTTCGTGAGACGGCGGCGGAGCAGCTGGAGGAGAGGCAGAGTGATTGGGCGTATTCGAAGCCTGTGGTGATTTTGGATATCATTTGGAACTTTGCGTTCGTGGCCGTGGCGGCGGGGGTTTTGGTTTTGAGTAGGAAAGAGAATCCGGGTGTGCCTTTGAGGTTGTGGATTTTAGGATATGGACTGCAATGCGTGTTGCATATGGTTTGTGTTTGTGTGGAGTACAGGAGGAGGAGAAGGAGGAGAGCTGGGTTTGGAGGAGGAGGAGGGGATGGTGGGATTGGGAGTGATGGGAATTCGAGTTCCGGTTCGAGAGGTGATTATGGAGAGTATGTCAGTTTGGCTCAGTTAGAAGATGATGGAACTAGGTATTTTTGTGGTGTCCGCTGCTAGATGTTTGAGATTTTAGGGTCTTTGATGAAGTAATGTGAAATTTATGATTTTAAAACTGTTTCGCGTTACTTACTTGGCCTTTTATTTGAAGGGTTTTAAAAAATATTACATATTTGATTGTTCGTGATTTGATTTGCCGCAGGATGGCGTGGGTTGTCATGAGGTTGAGGGTGGTGTTGTGATAATGCAGTTATGAAAGATGAAATTTAATTATGGATTTAGGATTGGATTAAGTAAGCCTTATATAGGTTCACTACAATGTGTTTTCATTTTCTGATTTAAAAGTAAGAGTTTTTAATCATCATCTGGCATGCAATTTATTACCTTTTCATCTTCATTTTCGTTACGCACAGGCCTCACTGTTTTCCTTTTTTTTCTTCTTTGAATCGCTTGTTATTATTTTGTAAATCCACTAAGGAACTGGGACTTGTTGATTTTCACGCTGTGTTTGTGCTGCAAATGAAATCTGTGGAATTGGATTTTTTTGTTCATTCTTTGTATTTCAACTCTATCAGCAGTGTTGCGAAGCATCTGGAATCTGCAAACACAATGTTTTCTTTTATCTGGTGGATCATTGGGTTCTACTGGGTGTCTACTGGTGGCCAAGCTTTGGCACAAGGCTCTCCCCAGCTATACTGGTTTGTTCCTTCGCTCCTCTTCCTTTTTTCATACGGCTTGAGAAAATGTTGCATCAACAGTCTCTTACCTTCTCCAACCTGCCTTTGTTTTGCAGGTTATGTATAGTTTTTCTCGGTTTTGATGTGTTCTTCGTTGTTTTTTGTGTTGCCCTGGCATGTGTCATCGGCATTGCTGTGTGCTGCTGTCTTCCATGTATTATTGCAATCTTATATGCTGTTACTGATCAGGTAGACCCACTTATCTACAGTCATGTTCATCCTTTGATTTTGTCTTGATATAACAGTGTCATTTCTTTTGGAGTTTATTAGACCCCACCCTTTTATGTTAGTCATGTGTATTGTGTGTAAGCTGAAAGTAGAAACCAGAGAATAATGACCTAATGAAGCCGTGTCTTTCACTGCTAACTTATCTAGGCCCATTGATTGAATTTAGAAAATGAAAACAAACGGCTGGGTTATTTTGAGGTGGAGTTGATTTGATGGCACAAATGAGAATTATTTCTAATGGTGATGCTATGATATTCACTTGTTAGAAGAAGCAGGCACATCGAAATCTTAGTAAATTTGCTTGCTTGGTGTTTTCTGCTAAAGTTTTTCCTGTAGCTTGAAGGGAGCACTATTCAACAATTTCTGATTAATCGAAGGAGTTATCATGTTAAGCAAACTAACAAAGTGACAAGTTTTCCTTCATCCAGTTTTACACGTATTGCTTAAATATTATATCCCATTGGACAAGGTGTTATCTTGTACCTTCTGTTTAAGTTCTGCTCAACTTGATGTCCTGGAATATAACTTAGTGATCTGGATGTTCTGTGATGGTGGTATAGTTGATGTCCATAGCTTGTTGGGCACAAAAGCTTAATAATGCATGATGCCAAAGTTGTTTTTGAGTGTGTGCTTTATATATTCTGTTTAGCTTACAAAATGCATTATCATGCAAGTTATGTGCTTTTGAAAGTTTCACCACGTTTTAATGGGGCACGAGAAGCAGTTTGACTTGTAGCAAAATCATGCCAATTTTGTGAAAATGGTTTGGAGTTTTCTTCCCTTTGAGCCTCTATAGGCTGCCCATATTATGGTTGCAGAGTGGTCATATCTTACATAATTCCGTGATTGATAGTGAAATGAATCTGGGCTTCAGAGGTTTGTGGTTCAAAATCATATAGATATTCTTCTCACATTCTCTTGAGAAGAATATCTTGGAGCATTAAAGGTGATTGTAGTGGCGAACTAGTGTTAGATATTTTGTTATTTGAATAGGAATATTACTCCTCTACAGATCAAAAGGCTGATGCATCCATGTCTAACAACCCGACTCATCATAATGCAGTTTGAGGGTGCAGCATTGGATACAAGAGTTACTGGTTGAACATGTAAACTCTACAGTATGGAGTCAGAGTTCTAAGTTCTTTGATGTAATCATTTAGGCTTAAAAGGATTGGATAAAGTTTTGGAAGGATGATTTTTGTTGGAGATGGGAGGATTAGCCTTAGTTCTGTCAAGGCATGGTGGGCTACTTTTTGGGCTTTAGTCACATTATTGGATTGACATCTTAAAATGTTGTAGTGTTTTATAAATTATAACGTACAAAGTATTATACATGTACAGGAAGTAAACTAATTCTATTCAACTGCTCTCTCTTATTGTGTCCCTTTGATCTTTTCAACCTGTTAAAGCAGGAAGGAGCATCCAAAGAAGACATTGACCAACTCGCAAAGTTCAAATTTCGAAGGGATGGTGATATTGACAAGCTCACTGGTGATGACCAAGGATGTTTTGGAGGAATAATGACTGAATACGGCACAGATTCTCCAATGGAACACGTTCTTTCAGGAGAGGATGCGGTACCTAGTTCAACTCTTGCTTCGTTATTTGATGCTTTCCACATCCTTATTATAAGAATATTCGATGATCACTTGAATTCAAGCGGTGTCTTAAGCATACGAAATTTATCCTTTTCTTGTCTAGCATAGCCTTTCTGAAACATTTGATAATTATAAATGTGTAATACTTTTGTGGTTATCACAAGTCAATTTATCATCTGTTGATTAAAAGATAACCTTGTGTCGCAATTAAGAATACATAAGGGGGATAAGCTTGACTGGGGAAACTTGCTTGGCTTTGAGTGGGAAGGCAGTCAATCTGCGTAACTAAACTGATGCTTATGCTAACTTGTAGGAGTGTTGCATCTGCCTCTCTGCTTATGAAGATGGGGCTGAGCTAAGGCAACTTCCATGCGGTCACCATTTTCATTGTACCTGTGTAGATAAGTGGCTATATATTAATGCTACCTGTCCTCTCTGCAAGTACAATATCTTGAAGAGCACGAGCCAAGACAGGGAGGAAGTGTAGAAGGATTGCAAATACTTTATAAATCTGAAGACTTTGTCATGCCGTTCTAGCTCAAGCATGCCATTGGACTAGTACGAGCTCTCGCTATTGTTGCTGTGGTAGGTGTTCTGTTGGCTGGGGGCAAATTTCTGTTCTTGGTTTGGCTTGCGAATGTGCATGTGTATAATGTTGCTTGCCAGTACATTTGAATACTAATTATGTCTATTTATTGTCTCTAACTAGATAGCAGAAACATGACAGATTTCATACACTCTGGTCTGTCAGGATTTTCTGTGTGGGTTAACATTAAGAGTGCTTGGGGGTTCTGGTTGAATAACATAATGTGCGAGATGTGTTATTTGTGAAGTGAATAAATTCAACAGAATATTTCTGAACTCTGTTGCTTGCTTGTGTGTTTTCTCTAAAAATGGAGACATCCAGGTTGGTCGTAACGCAATTTTATCTGGAAGGTGCGAGCAAAATATTCACATGACCAGACAAAACAAGAGACACCGCTAAATGTTACTTGCAACGAGGGAAAAAAAGCAAGAGTGGACTCGTGGGCAGTCGGTAAAAAATAAAGAAAGAATATAAAGCCTAGTTTGGTCCCTTGCAGGACTCCGATTCCGAATCCAAACTGGATTCGCTTTATCTGAAGCTAAATCTTCTCGGCATTTTCTTGAGAATAAAAATGGAGCACCATGAATGTTCATGCTGCCAATGAAAAAGAGCGGCGATTCATCCATTTTACGCTTAGAATCTCATTCTTTTCAAATTTTAGTTGCTTCTTTACATTTACAAATTACAAGCAGGTTATCTAGTCTCACCGTTCCCGTCTACCTGGTCCAGGGGATCACGGTTACAAGATTTTGAGCTTTAAGAGGCAGAAATCGTACCATGATTTCAGCAGCCGCCAGCTTCCGTGAATGAACAAGTGTCGAACAAGGATGCTGAGAACGTGAGATGCTGGTAAAGCTAGTTCTCTGTAAGGATTTTAATTGCATGGTGTCTTCCTAGCAACGATTACGGGTCCTATTACTTTATATATAAAAGAATGTTTTAAAAATGAATTTGATATTGTCTTCATACAACAAGAAAAACATATTATTATTGCTTTCATAAATCATGATCCGTAAATTTAGTTTGTTTGCTCTAGTAGTAAGTGTTGATCTAAAGCGTACTCAATTTTAGAGTAGACTAATTGTAGCTGGAAGCTAAGCTGTTACAACGGCTCTATTTAAGAGATAGAACATTATTTGGTTGAAAAAAAAAAAATATAAAATAAATATATTTCTAGAATAATTTTAAAGTAAATATCTGTATAACATGAAGATATGTTATTTTAGAGTTTCTCTTCGTCATTAATTTTGATTAAAATAGCTCTGTAACCCATCTAGTCCTACTAATTCATTCTCCAATCTCGGTTTCGATACTCTTAGCGCCGATTATATCCACCACTGCGACTGGGAAATACTCTGATGAATTGGCTTATCTTGTCATGCTAATTAACGAGCTTATGCACCGGAGTTTATTTAATGCTGATTAACTTCCCCCGTTGTTTACTGCGTAAAAGATATACGGAACGAAATGATTATTAGTTCTAATTACTTTTCTAATCATCAAAATCAAAAGAAATTTGATGTGAAGGTTAAAAGTTTTGAATCGTTTATTCCTAATCATAATTAATTCTTGGAAACTATAAAAATAATAACATTTTGTTCAGGCCCAACGGAATATCCCGATCAGGCGGAACACGCCTTGAAATCCAAATGCACGCCGATTTTACACCCAGATTTCTAAAGACTTAGCATCCATATGTTAATGGCTATTTTTTAGTTCTTATCTGAAATAGCTGGAAAGTCATTTTAGCTATCTCTTTAAAAAATATAATCACATTCATGCTCTCCAAAATAAGAAACCGCACTATGCTACAAGTTTTCTTTTTACAAAACGAAGCTGGTGTTTCGTTTCGGGTCTTTTTGTTAGCCACAAAAAACATGACCTTAACCATCGATAAATGAAATTCAAAAAAATATATAAAAAATATGACAAACTTCAACAACAAAGATCGGGCATGCGAAGAAGATTGGTAGGTTAGGAAAGGGACAAATCACACATAAAAGGCTAGCATCTAAGCAAGGCAACCTTGCAGTTATCCTTGTAGCAATGCAGGTTTGTTCTTATTCAGAAAAGAAAGTAATTCACGCCATCTTGTTTGAGTAGCCGGCGAAATATGTTTATCAGAATAAAAAGCACAGAAAAAAATGCAATGTAAGCACATGTCAGCTAATGCCTGAACATTTAGCACAAGTAGCTCAAGCAAAGTAAAGGAAATAAGATCAAGCAAGCAGGAATCTTACGTAGTTGCCGCGTGAATATAGACGTTAAAGAAAAGTCTAAAAAATTGGGAAAGAATTTCAAAGGGAGTTAGGGAAACATTGTCCTGAACCCGTGCTGCGCTAGCTCAGGCTGGAAATGAAGCCTTCTTCTTGTTCCAGTGAGGCTGGGTCACTCGAGATCCTACTGAAAATCTGAGCTTGTTGCCTGGAAAGATGCTAAAAAGCAGACTACAGTAGGAGGGATGCCTGTCGGAGTTACTGGAATGGTTGGTGGGGGCATTGAAGAGCTAGACGGAGCTGCTTCTGAGCTTGCTGGAGCGGTGTCAGGCCGTGAAGAACGCTGGAGGGGTATTTTGGGAGGGTTGGTCATTATGTAAGACTGAAAAAGATACAGCAAGTGGAGCTGCTATGATGAGAGAAAAAACATGGCAGCCTCTCCTAAACTGAAATTGACAGGAACGGGTATGAACTATACAGGATTAAAAGAGGATAAAAACTATAACCAAAACAAAAAGAAAACCAGCAGCTAGCCTAGCCTAAAACAAACTAACCTATAAAAATCCACAAGAGAAGAACAAACGTACTGAGGAAAAATCTAGTTAAAAATGAACTAAACCATCTAATCCCACCAAACAGGGGATAATCCATCCCAAAATAGAGGATAGACTGAGCAAATTGCCAGCTTAAGAGTGTATTAAATGCACGTCCATTCACAACACCCAACTTGGGCACGAGAATCCATGTTTTCTAGGCATCTGAGATTCTCAGACTGAGAAGCCTTGACACAAAAAAAAGTTGAAGCCCACACCTAAGAACAGAGGAGCTTTGTTAATGAGCCAAAGAGCGAACGCGAGCCACTGGTGCAAGGAGCAAACCGATGGCTACCATGGAGAGAGCTGAAAATGAAGCGTCTGGACCTAGGAATTGAACGTAAAAGGCTCCAAACTGTAGCCAGGCAAGGCAGATGAAGAAGATAGAGAGAGAGAGACACCGAAACTATTAACAAAAGAAAAAGAAATTTATGATGGAGGAAGAGACTCTCTCAACTCAACTCACAAACACCCTGCAACTAAAAATTACACCAATGGAGGAAGAGACTCTCTCAACGCAGCTGACAAACACTCTGTAACTTTCACCTCACTTCTTTCTATCACTCAATGTTTTTTGTTGCATGTCTATTGCTCTTACAAACCCCTCTATTTATAGTTGAAATGGAGAAGCGCATGCCATGATCCTCTCTCTTTAATTTGGTATGCAAACCCTCAAATCTCTTCCCTGAAAATTATCCATTCCTTTCCGGCTTGATCTGCACTGGTTATAAGCCTAATTTGTCTCCATTCATAACAACATGTTGATTTACCTTTCTTAGCAACTTAAATGAATGTCCATCTTTCAGGAATGTTATACATGGCTATTGCTGGATGGAGGTCCTTCTCATGCATTTTCTGATGCGGATATCACAGTGATGGAAGATGACCTCAATGTGTTGAAGGTCTCCCTCCGCGCTGCGCGCGCGCACATGCCCGCGTAAAGAAAATTGCGGCGCAGCTTGAATATAGAAGTTCTCTTGTAAGAGATTTTGAGTAATCAATTGTTTTATGAGTGTATAAAGATGCTTGCTGCCATTGTTACTGACATCTTTACTATTATTTGCATAGCATCTTTCCATCACATGATTTAATTAGCGCACAGGAAAAAAAAAGCCAAAGCATTTTGAGATCAAATTTTTAAAGAAGAGCTTCCATCTTAGCAATGATAGCCAAGCTATTATTTGCATATATATCATCTTTCAATTACATGATTTCAATGTAAAATTTAATTAGCACACAGAAAAAAAAGTCAATGCATTTTGAGATCAAATTTTTTAAGAAGGGCTTCCATCTTAGCAATGATAGCCAAGCTAATGCTCAAGAAATCCTTAGACCTCTCCACCTTGGCCTTGATCTCATCAGGTAACACCGATTCCATCTCCTCCAAACCGTCTATGCAAGTTTCTTGATCTGTCATGGCAGCACTGATCCATGTCTGGATGTCGTTCGCTTTTTCCAAAGTCAACATCTTCTCTCCAGGTCCAACCTCCATTGCCAACAAAGAATCGTTGAGATTACCCAAGGAATTACCAAACAGGCTCACGCAATCTCTCATAGCAGCCTGAGAGTTGACATCATGTAAACTAGTGAATAGAGAAGAGAGGTATTTGAGCTCTGTAATGGAGACTTTGAGAGAGAGCTTGAAGATGGCTTCTGGGTCAGGTTTTGTGGAGATGTTAAGAGAGGATATGCTGGTGAAGCAGGAGGATGGATACAGAGTCATGTCACAGACTGTTTTGATTGATTCAGCTGAGTTTGATGAAGAGAGAGATGGGAATTCGTCTGGCTCGGTATTTGACTCCTGGATCAATGCTGCAAGGGCTAGACCGAGGATTAGAGTTAAAAAGAGGATGGATGAAACGCCGATGATGAGGATTCGGCGTTTTGATGCAGTACTTTCCTGTTGGTGAGGGTTTTGATCTTCAAGCGGATTCACTTTGCCATAGCCCTTGAAAAAGTTATAGGATTCCATAACTAATTCAGCTGATCGCTAGGTTTTTGGGTTTGGAAATTGAGTGGAGGTTTGATGTTCTTTCGACGACTGGGAAAGGAAATGGTTATAATGGTTGTCCGACACGATCCCCTGATTACGACCAAGTCTTAACTAATCCTTTTCCTTTGACTGTTCTTTCTCTGTTCGTGATTTAAAAATAATAAAATTTTTAAAAATTAAAAATTATATATTTTTTATAAAATATCATTTTGATGAGTTTATTTTTTTTAATCTATTAGTATTGAAATTGATAATGAGAATCAAACCCTGTTATTGTAATATTCTTTATCTCTATCATATCAAAACCTTGAAGAAACTTTTTATTTAGTAGGGAAATCATTACTTTAAAGGATTTTATTCCTTTCTTATTTTTTAAATTTATTATGAAGACACACACAAGTGACAATTCTAGTAGTAACCATATAGATAACTTATAACTAGAGTTTGATTAAGGAAACGAGGTGGTGGTGGTGGTGGTTAGAGATTATAGTCATGATATAGGAATTTGATTTGCTTTTATTGTAAGAATAAATGGTACATTCGGGATAATTGTCCTAAATAAAAGAAAAAAAAAATAAAGTTCTTAACGAGGATGGCCATATTCAGAGGATGACGAGAAAAAAACTTGGTTGCCTATCATTTATAGAATCGTGAGTTTTTCAAGATTGGCTTTGAAATTGATTGAATTTATCTATATGACGAGAAATAAAGATTTTGAAACAATTTCCAGATTTGTTCTCTACCTCGATCATCTTTAAATTGATCGAGATTTATTCTTTTTTAGTATAGATTAGTTCTTTCTAAAATAAATCTTTAAATTGAGAAAGATTATGATTTTTTTTTTTGCGTTTACCCTTTTTTTTTAATTGAATTCTAAATTATTCTTTATTTACTTTCACTCCCCATTTTGGACCACAAGCATATACTTTTTTTTTCTTAATTTAAAATTGATTTTATTTATATTGGGATCCGTTTCTATCCATAATCTTTACAAATTCTACAAAATAACCTTAGAATCTCACTATTTTAAATATTTTTTATATCCTTAATACATCGTCCTTGAATTTTACTCCTTTAACGTTTCTCTTCTAAATTTCTCACATCATACCTTAGTTTTAAAAATTGCTTAAAATGCATGTTGTTCGTTTACATTTGGATAGAAGACAGCTAATTAAAATCATGTTGACTTGCTCACGGGTTGTGACCTTGAGAGTTGAAGCAGCATCTAGTGGGAAGTTATGTTTATTTTTATATTTTTAATTTGAAATTAATTTTTCAGTGATATTAAATTATTTTAATATACTAATATTAAAAATAAATTTTAAAATATAAATACCACACAAACACAGACAGGCTATTAGTAATTTCCGATATCTTAATTATTAGCAATTGCGTAATGCAACAGGACGACACGTCGCTAGTAGATAACTTATTTCGGACCACATGTCGAGTAGCAACAAGCCAACAAGCCACCTAATCGGTGTTTCCCACTTGAGGGCTGCTGTTACGTCTGCAAACCCGCAACTGAGCTAGCCAGTCTTCAAACTCTCACGAAGTGTCATAGGAGCAATTTACTCTCTCTACATACAAAGTAGCAGTACAAGTTTTTCATTTTCCTATTCGAAGCATGCGCCAGATTATCATCAAACGAATATGAGGTCGGAGTTCATGGCTTTTATTTTCCTTTGTAGCATTGCTGCCCCCTTCTTACTTCATGTTTCTTTCTTTGTTGAATGGTTTATCTTTTCCTTCATAGAAAGCTTGAATGTATTAGTCTTTAAATTATCACTAACCGAACACTGTCTTGATGCTTTTTTCCTTCTTTTTTTTTTGTTTTTCCACTTCCTCTACCACTCCAGTCGTTCATCCAATGGTGTACTCTCATCATTTTTTCACGCTCATACACTGTTCGCTAAAATGCTTCAACCAATATGAATTTTAAAACTACTAAGAAACCAAAACTAAAACGTTAGACATACCTTATCCATTCAGAGAAATCTTTTTCAGGACTTATTTGAAGGTCAGTTTATTTCCTCCATGCTGACTTGATTCTGTTACTGTGTACTTAAAATGCAGCTTGAAGGAAAAGGCTTCTCTGTTTTTCTTTTCTTCGAAGGCTGTGACAGTATTAGCTTAAGATGTCACCTGCGTGAGTCGTTATAGATTGTTCAGATATTAATTTCTGCTTGGTTCAGTTCTAGCAAAGATGCCATCATTAGTATCACCGCGGTTGCTCTTTCTTGTTGGAGAGACAATACACTTGAAGAAACTATCACGTGATTCTAGCTCATCTTTGTGTCAACGCAGTGTGCGGTTTTTTAGTCGTGTTGACCGGGACAAAAATGCACCTCTTACTCTTGCAAATCTTGGGTTTAATACCGAGTTTGAGACAACTACCAAAAATAAAAGAAATAAACTGGAGAATGTGAAAGTGAATTATCCGATTGAAGCACCGAAAAGTAGAGAGAAGGTGGCTACAAGCAACAAGAGTAGAGCTGTTAGAGTGAAAAATACACTCGAAATAGAGTCCGCTCCATTTGCTGCAAAGTCATTTTCTGAGCTTGGCCTTCCACCTCCGTTGATAGAAAGATTAGAGAGGGAAGGGTTTAATGTTCCAACTGATGTTCAGTCTGCAGCAATCCCGACTATTCTCAAGAATCATGATGCTGTCATACAGTCGTATACTGGGTCTGGAAAAACGCTTGCATATGTACTTCCCATACTGTCTGAAGTTGGGCCGCTGAAGAATAATTCGTCTAGTGCTGATAAAGAAACTGGGAAGAAAACAGAGATAGAAGCAGTTATTGTGGCTCCTTCTAGAGAGCTAGCTATGCAAATAGTGAGAGAGGTTGAGAAACTGTTAGGACCTGAAAACAAGAGAGTGGTTCAACAACTTGTAGGAGGTGCAAACCGGTCAAGACAGGAAGAAGCTTTAAAGAAAAACAAGCCATTAATTGTTGTGGGTACCCCTGGCAGGATTGCAGAAATTAGTGCAGCGGGTAAACTTCATACCCATGGTTGTCGTTTTTTAGTCTTAGATGAAGTTGACGAGCTTCTTTCATTTAACTTCCGGCAGGACATCCACCGAATATTGGAACATGTAGGGAGGAGATCAGGGGCAGACTCTCAGGGACACAAAAATTCACTTGTGAGATGGGCTGATCGTCGGACTATCATGGTATCTGCAACAGTGCCATTTTCTGTTGTAAGGGCTGCTAGGAGCTGGGCATGTGACCCACTTCTTGTCCAAGCAAAAAGTGTCATTCCACTTGAATCTCTCACTCCTGGAACTGTTAATCCGTCCAGGCCTACTTCTAGTTCAAACTCAGACTCGAATTTGCTGCATCAGGCAACAGAGCAGAGCCTTCCTCCAGCATTGAAACACTATTATTGCGTCACAAGGTTGCAGCATAAGGTAGATACTTTGAGAAGATGTGTTCATGCACTAAATGCACAGTCTGTGATAGCCTTTATGAACCATACAAGGCAACTAAAAGATGCTGTCTTCAAACTAGAGGCTCGTGGGATGAAAGCTGCAGAGCTCCATGGGGATCTTGGCAAGCTTGGTAGGTCAACAATTCTAAAGAAATTTAAAAGTGGAGAGGTGAGAGTTCTCGTAACGAATGAACTTGCAGCAAGAGGCTTGGATGTTCCAGAATGTGATCTTGTTGTCAGCCTTGACTTGCCTACGGACTCGATTCATTACGCACATCGAGCTGGAAGGACTGGCCGGCTTGGGAGGAAGGGCACTGTGGTGACAATTTGCGAGGAGCGAGAAGTGTTTGTTGTGAAGAAACTGCAGAAGCAGCTTGGGGTCCCTATTCCTGCTTGCGATTTTACAGAGGGCAAGCTTATTGTTACTGACAAAGAGGAGAAACATGTGGAGACTTTAAGTTGATGGACATCATTCTCATTATATCTTGTGGTTCTGCTTATTGCCATCAAGATGACGGATAATGAGATATCCCTACTGTTTTCAATCCCAACTGTTTTCTTAAGCAGCTTGTTGCAGCTAGATGACGTTGAGTTTGAAGTTTATTGTGAGATATTCAATTCAATTTTTAGAGCTTAAAGTTATTGCAATTCAATTTTTATTTGACATGTTAATCATGTGATTATGACTGCCATACAAAACAGCTAAATATCAACTTGTTTAATGGGCAGTAATCGAGTTTTAACAACCTACAAAGGTTGTGTGGTCTCCTTTTTTGAAGTTGAATAACATGGCTGCTTGAGTGAGAATAAATGATGCTGCATACTCTGTGACATAATTTGCCAACTCAGAGATGATGCGGTGAAAAGCTAACATTCAATCTTGTTTAACCTGGATACAAAATAGGGAAAATGATCATATTTCGTATGATTGAAGAAAGGGCAGTGTGTGATATTACACCATACATGCCCGTAGAAGGGGATTTTTTTATTCTCTTGTACATGCTCTAAATCGGAGATGCTTTGGTGTGGTTAAAGAAGAGCGCTAGGATTTTAAGTAGCCACGTTATGTGTCTTCAGATGATTCTCTTGCATAGCTTGTAGCCTGATAACCTGGTGCAGGTCGCAATTGTTAGGAAAGTTGCAAACGACATGGTTATGGAAATGATGACCGCCTTCTAGATGCATTTTTATCAATCTGTTGGACGGCAAATATGGCTACCGATCTAGAAGAAATTAGAAGATAACCTGCAAAAAACTGAGCCATCAAGGGATTGTATTTTACAGACTGCAATTGGTAAAAGACATTGAGAAAGGGTTTACAGTCTTTTTTTTAAAAAAAAAGCTTCTTTGAAACAGCACTTGATCAAGGATGAAGCTCTTGTAATTTGGGAACATGTCTGAGATGACGATGCCTCTGCATGCAATGTCACAGACACCCTTGAAAAGTTGGAATGCAGGGTAAACAAACAGTGAAACAGATGCAATAAAGCAGTACCTACCAAGGAAAAGGATTTATTTGTTGACAACTAATTCGTAATATGATAACAAAATACCATAGGTATGAATGGATTTATTTGTTGCTTCTGATTTGTGAAGCACTAGAATTTCTTAGTGCTCTTTATTAGTGAAAACTTATATATGGGACTGCGCTAACATGTGAGTTTGTATTTTTCTCTGTGAAAAAACAATATTCAATCATTCCAAGCATGTTTTAAATAAATCAAGAAAATAAACCATTCAAATTATAGCCCTGACTGGACTTAATAAATTGATTTTATTTTAATTAAATAGTATTTTTTTTTTACAACAATAGTAAAATAACAAAATATATAAAAAAAAGACTATGAAAACCTAAGGAAAAAAAAACTATTGGAAGTATGTAATTGAACAAAAAATTAAAAAAAAAATCATGATGAAATAACTCTCAAGTAACATTATAGATATGTAAGCCGGGTGATAAGTGGTGAGTCAATTTATAATAATTTTCAAAAGTTATAGTCTAGGCTATGAGATCGGGTTAACTTGGTAGAATTTTTTTTAAAAAAAACTATAAAGCTTTTTTTATTTTATTTTAAAAAACTATTGTAAAACAACAAATAAAAAAAATTAGGTAAATAATAAAAGAGAATGTTGGGCTATGTTAGCTTTTCAGGCTCATAATCCGATTTATTAGACCGAAAATATAATAAATTAAAAAAATAATAAAATTCAATCCCTAGCAAATACAATGTTAAATAATGAATTATTACTATTATTACTATTATCATCATCACTATTATTAATATCAGTATTATTATTATTATTATTATCACTACAATTATTATTATCACTATCACTATTGTTACCATCAAAAAAGAGAAATGAAAGGAGAGAGAAAGAGTCACTCACAACTAACCAATCATCTTTAAATAATATATGCCACTTATAAAAAAAAGAGAATATAGTAATAAATCAAATGATAAGACAAAAGCTTATTTTCTATTTTTGGACCTTCAATAAGTGCAATTGTTAGACATGTTTTTATAAATTTTTCATTTTAAAATTATTAATTAAATGTTAAATTACTGATATTAACCTCAATCAAATCAACAATTACAAAAAAAAAAAAACTAAGATAAAAAGATGCTAATGCCCCTAGTTCAATGACTTAAATTTTTTGACTCTAAAGTCATATTTGTAATCTTACTTATATTAAAAAATAAAAAGACAAATACACCATTTCCCTTGTTAGTTTTTTTTATTTTTATTTTTATTGTAGAGGTATTTTGGTTTTTTAATTGTTCATCAATATATGGAGTACATAAAAATATCCTCAAATAAAGTTATAATGACTAAAGCTGAAAGAATAAAAGTTATCTCTGGTTCAAAGGCAATCAGTTTTTATTTTTTTTTGAAAAAAGAGGCCATAGGAGTTAAAATATGGTTAAAGGAAAATAAACTTCGTTGTTGTTTTTTTTTTATATATAAGAAAACTAAAATTTGAGAACTTTTTGGTCTATGGCTACAATAATCTTAGCAATTCTGAGTAGTAAACGAAGTTAAAAGGATGTTGAATATCCTTCTTGGATGATGCAGTCATGCAGCTAGTGAAAGAGCAGAGACAAAGGAAAAGACAAGTGCCTTCTTCATTCCATCGCTCCTTTCAAAGAAATGGTTCCTCAAAGCAGCTTCCACTGAATATTTTGGAGGCCCCTCTAAGATATCAACTTTATTTTTAAGCTTCGTTTTTATAATACCGTGCCTCTTCAGGGTGCTTTGTTATTACTATCCATGGAGTTTCAGGGAAGAGGGTCTTAGTGCTTTGACCATTATTTCTATTTGATCCCGGGGAGGTTCAACGTAAGCATTGAAACGAAATCAGTGACCTGTATAGTTGGTAGTTCTTGTACGTAGTGATTTGAGAGGAAAACGAGATGCACAAGTCAACTCTTGCTCGGTCAACTATGATCTTTGCAACAAAGAATCCCACACTCGTCGCAAGTAACAATAATAGAACATTAAGAAAATGAATAAAAATGAAAGGTGCCCCTGCAATTCCAGTTCTAGCCAAAATGACATGAGAGAGTACTGTGACAGATTATATTCTGCGCGACTTCCTCTTGATTATATTTTGGCATTGACAGCCAAGTTTAGATGGAAGAGAGATTCATGTTTCTAGATAGGAATGCTTGAATAATCAAAGCAAGCAAAAGAAAATAAATAAATAATGAACCAGCTGCAGGGCTCATCTTTCTTCTTCAGCTCGAATAATAAATCTAGCCTTGAAACTTGTAGGCATTATCAAATATCAACACAACATTAATTTTTATGAGATTGAGAATATTATTCAATGGTGGGAAATTGCGTGGCTTGTTTATACGAGTGCTGTACGGGTGTATGGCAAATAGACCAACAACCCAAACAATGAGGGGAAACATAATAGACGCAAAGGGGGAATGCCTATCAGATCAAGGTCATGAGAATATTTTTCTGTGGTTATTTGGCCTATGAGTCGGGGATTGTTCTGTAGATCTGGACGAAATAGCTTGTTATTTTTCAGGCTTTGACTGGTAACCCCATGGATTATTGCTTGCCCATTTCCATTGGTCCCTGCACATCTCCTCGACACCGTATTTTGCCCTGAAAATTCAATCACAACAGTTAACATAAACTCATTAGGCCAACAGATTGAACTGGAACTGATGCTCCAATTAGCTTGTGAAATTTCAACAAGATGGCCAAACAGCAATGGAAAATTTATCACGCATGACACAATTAGGCATGCAAGGGAGGATATGTGTCACGGAAGCGCAAATTGAAAGAGAAGATCCTTGTGATATGCCAAAATATCAGGAAAATAGTAGGTTGAGAACATACTTCCAGCCAAGTTCTCTCTCAGCTTTCTCTGTAGAAGCATATACTGCTGTGGCATCTCCAGGCCTTCGTGGACATAACTTGATGGGGATTTTCTGAAAACAAAATCATAGTAAATACTTTTTGACTAGCTTCATTTTTTGGGAGAAGGGATGACAAGTGAAGAGAAGGGACAGTCACCTTGCCAGAAGCTTTTTCAAATGCAGTGACCATTGCAAGCACAGATGTTCCACATCCAGTCCCCAGGTTGTACGCGATGCAACCTAACACAAGCAAATTGCTTAATAAATGTAGCTTTCTAATGATAAAAACTAAACTGCATTTAAGCATGCAGTGATGCGAATTTTTGAAACAAATTAAATTAGAACTGAAACCAGATGCAGGTGGCTGCACTTCAGTTGACATTTAAATCTGTGTAATAAAAAATGATTACCAATATCCTTTGTTGCGAAAATTTTCCGAAGAGCAGCAACATGACCATCTGCCAAGTCCATAACATGGATATAGTCCCTGACCTGTTAATCCAAAAAACTTAATAGTTGATGAAAACCAAACATATGGTGGTTGAGAATATCATTTGGTCTGCTCTAAATTCGTGTGGAACATATCATCCATGTCATTTTGTCAAACTGAAATGCCAAATGTATCTTAGATAGCCATTAGGATTCCAACAGGAAATGTTTCTATAATTTTGCAACAAAGAGAATATCTTATGTAGAACTACATACCGCACTACCATCCTTTGTGGGATAGTCATGACCATATACATTAAGCTCAGGAAGTCTACCAACAGCTACTTGTTGTATGTAGGGCATGAGATTGTTTGGGATACCCTTGGGATCTTCACCAAGTTTACCACTCTCATGAGCTCCCACGGGGTTGAAGTACCTAAGCAAAATGATACTCCATTCTGGCTCTGCCTTATGAATATCTCGAGCAATTTCTTCAAGGAAAAGCTAGAGAGGAAAATACAGAAAATGTTAGTAACTGGCAAGGAAACAGGATCATTTTGATATAAAGATGGCCACTCCAACTCTACCAGGTTAATCCAGCTTCAAATATGAACTTCTAAGAAAAAAGCAAGTTTCCAGGAAAAAATAGATTTGTACCTTGGTACGTCCATAAGGATTCATTGCCATTAGGTTGAAGTCCTCAACACAAGGAATTTTTTCAGGTTGGCCATAAACAGTTGCTGATGACGAGAAAACCATCTACAAACAAAACAAAAGGTTTAAAACAAAAATCAAAATCGTTGTTCCAGTGACAAAAAAGGCAT